AACCAGCCCGCCCGCAAGATCCGCAGGTGAGTGCCCGCGGCCCGGTTTCCCCGGGGCCGCTCCTGCCGGGCCTGCTGCCGCCCGCTTTGGCTCCTCTAGCGCGGGGAAATTGCTTCTCGTCTCGTATCGTGCTGCTGAGGAAGCTGAAGTGCTGTGTCTGTGTTTATAAGTTGTTTCCCGAACCTGACCTGCTCAAGGCGCTGGGCTTGCAGCAGGGTGCTCGTTTGGTGCGGGGTCTCTGGTCAGGGTCAGGCCGTTCGAGCTGCAGTCAAGTGATGAGAAATCTCCGGAATCGCTGTACCACGTTGATGATTCCCTCGAACCCTTGTCTATCTGATGACTGCAGCCGCTCTGTAGAAGCAGGCACTGCCTGTCTGAGCCGCTAGGCTGGTGTTGGGCTTTGTTTCTGGCGCTGCCCTGCGTCACCTGGCAGCACAGGGGTGGCACACCTGGCAGAAGTGCAATGTTCCTGACCACTGTCTCCTTCGACCTTCCAGGAGGAAGGCCCGCCAGGCAAAGGCTCGCCGCATCGCTCCCCGTCCCGTGGCTGGGCCCATCCGGCCTATAGTGAGGTGCCCTACTATCAGATACCACAAAAAAGTCCGTGCTGGTAGAGGCTTCAGCCTAGAAGAGCTTAAAGTAAGTACAGAGCGCTGATCCCAGCCTGATAAAACTAACTCTGAGTCTGAGCTCAGTCATCTTGTCCTGTTCTGCACGTAGACAAGTGCCATGTTGAGGCATCGGTGTCTGCTGATGCTGGTTCAGCCGGGGAGACGTCTGGTGTTGCTAGCTCCACAGAGGCATAAAAAATACTGGTCTTGCCTTTTCTTTGTAACTAACTGGCATGGGGATGTGGCGGTGTACGTCAGAGTGAAAGCCGTTTGTCTGGTTAGACTGTCAAACAAAATTCCATTAAAATCAGATTCTGGTAAAGTCTTAATTGAGTCTCCTAAACTACTTTTTTTGGGGGAAGAAAAAAAAAGACATAACATTTTCTTCATTCTTTTGTTTCATTGTGAAACATGTTTCTGCTAATGTGAAAATTTTAGCCGATGTGACCCTGCTCACGTCATGAATAAGTAAACTTATTTCAAAAGAGAAGTAAGGGATCTTGTGCCGGGAAAGGGACCCGTTCAGCGTAGCCTCGCGGAGTAGCTGCGGCTGCTGCTCACACGACAGCTGCAAGTTGGTTTAGGAACACCTAAAGTCTGTGGGAAGTATTCCCTGCCCTCCGTTGCTTCAGGAAACGGTTCTCTCTGACCTTCCCAGGTGTGCTGAGCTGATGAGTTGTTCAAAGCTGGATCGTGGTGGTCTGCAGAAACCCCTACCTGCCTGTCCTCACAGCGGGCAGGAAGAAACATTGGCGCTTGCTGGCAGCCAGCATCTGCAGCCGTCTCTTGTGCGTTGTTTGGCGTCTAATTAAAGCGTTTATAACAGTGAAATTAGCGCATTGAAGCAGTAAAATTGTTCTTCTGGCTGCCAAATGCTTCATTACTTTATTTTTCTTTAATTTTTGGATAATGGTGAAATACAAAATGGTACGCAGATGTTTGTATTTAAACAGAAAATGAGGTTATTTTTTTTAAGATGGTTACAAAAAATACATTTTTAATAGAGCTTCCAGTGTTCCATGAAGCAGAGCTATCTGTGTGCTGACGCCATAAATTTGTCTCATGTATCAGAGTTTAAATGTCCCCCCCATAACTACTCAGGGCTTGCACTTTGCTCTTCTGAGGAAATCCATTTGCAAAAGTTACTGCAAAGTCTGTGGGATATTTTAAGCATTCAGATACAGACACCAGGACTCCCTTTGTGGCATGGTCGCTCCCCCTGTCAGACCCTCGCTGCCGTTGGGTCGGGCGCTGAGCCTTCCTCCAGCCCCTCGCCTTCCTCCAGCCCCTTCGCCTTGTCCGGCTGATGCCCGGGGCGGCTCCCAGCAGCAGCAGGGTGACATTGGGAGCTGTCGGGACGCTGACACTGCATGCTCTTTCTTCAGCTCGCTGGCATTAACAAAAAGTTTGCGCGGACTATTGGAATCTCTGTGGATCCCCGGCGACGTAACAAGTCTACTGAGTCGCTGCAAGCCAACGTGCAGAGGCTGAAGGAGTACCGCTCCAAGCTTATCCTCTTCCCAAGGAAGCCGGCTATGCCCAAGAAGGGAGACAGCTCTGTAAGTACCTGGCTGCTGGAAATGTGTGACAGGCGGCACGGTTCCTGTGCGCGTACGTAGGGGATGGCTGAGCCCAGCGCCGGGCTGAGCCGCGGATCTCCGGTGTTATGGCAGTGCCTTGGGCAGGCGCTTGGCCTCGGGGCCGGCACGCTGCTGAAGGGGCGCAGCTCAGAGCTGGGGCTGGACTCTTGAGTGGTCTGTTTGCCGGAGTTCTGGTTGCTGATCAACTAGTCGAATTTTTAGTTTGCGAAGCTAAATTGTCAGAATGGCGGAAAAGTCTGTCTGGAGTTGTGTTCTGCCACGGTGACAGCTTGCGTGGAGAGGCTGAGGAGGAGGAGGGTGGCGGCATGCTTTCACTAGAGTACTTCGGTGAGAGCCATGCGTAAGGCAGTCTCAAGAAGGTTGTTGCTGTTGACATACAAAAACGCTTTTCGTTAAAGCCTCACCGAGATCAGAGCGTAGTTTGCTTTCTTTGGCTCTGCCTGCGGTAAACACGCTTCCCACGGGGCGGCGCAAGTCGTGAAGCGAGGTGGTGAGCTCGAGCTGTGCTCGCTCTTCTGGAGAACGTCAGCTCTGAGCCAGTTCACCGTAGCGTGGAGCCCACCGTCCACGGCTGCTTGCCAGGACGGGAGGAAGGGTCTCAAGCTTCTGTACCCAGCAGGTACAGATACTTGCATCTGGAATACCTTTTCAAATTTATTTACTTGAAATCATCTACCTAAAATAAAACTTAACCTTTTTGTGCAATGCCGCGCTCGTACAAGAAGCTGGAATTCCTTAGAAGGAATTGCTGAGGAATACGCTGGGTATCGAGCTGAAGATGGCACGGTGGCTGTCGACGTTTGTCCGGCTGGCAGAATTCCTACAGGCCGCTGCTCCTCTGGCCGGATCCGGGCTGATCAATAGCCAGGCGAAACGCGGGTGGTTGGTGCGGCACGTCTGTGCCAAATACCCCCGCAGCTGCATGGCTGAAATGCTGGATCCGTCACCAGTCAGGGTTCAATCTCCAGTCAGAATTGTTAACGGTGTGGTTAAGCTGGGTACCTGCGTACGAGGCGTGTTTTCGACCGAGGTCTAGCCTGAGAAGTTTTAAATACTGGGTTTTTTAAAAATCATTTGTTTTGTCCTCTTGTTATGCAGGCTGAGGAACTCAAGTTGGCGACTCAGCTGACTGGACCGGTTATGCCGATCAAGAATGTAAGTGTAATTAAATCACATTTTCTGTGTGACGTAATTAAGACTTAAACTGCACGGAGACGATTCTCTTCTTGTGTCCTACAGCCAAGGGTCGCTGTCTCCAGACCCGTCCCATCCTGGATGAAAGAAAACCAGGAACGGGTCAAGCGTGTCCTTGTATTTTGCCAGTTCTGGAAACCCTTGCCGCTTTCAAAGGCGCTGTTGATAACGCGCCACAAACCTGACTCAGATTTCATGTTGCGCTTGGGTTTTGGGGTTTTTTTCCCCCGGTACGTTCTGGTCTTGTGCTGACGCGCGCTGGCAAATTAGGAACCGGTTGAAATGAGGTGCCTGGTGGAGTGATGATAAGGGCAGGGCCTGTAGATGGCACAAATGTTCCGTTCCTAACAGCATCCTGGAGCTAGTGGTAAAAATGTAACGAGATTAATTGTGTTAAGCCTTCCATGCAGTCTTCTCTGGGAGCCTCTGATGTGCAGCCTGACCGTCTGGCGCTCTCTCCCACTAGGTTTTCAAACGGGAGAAGGCCCGTGTTATCTCAGAAGACGAGAAGAACTTCAAGGCCTTCGCCAGCCTGCGCATGGCCCGGGCAAACGCCCGGCTCTTCGGGATCCGTGCGAAACGCGCCAAAGAAGCAGCAGAGCAGGATGTGGAGAAGAAGAAATGAACTGTTCTCCCTAGAACTGTCAATAAAAAAAATTGTAGAAATACGAGTGTGCTGTCTTTGTAGGTCAGATGTACAGGACTGAGCTGCCTGTTCCTGCCTGCTCCTGCCTGCTCCGGAGCAGTCTGTGCTGGGCTGCTGCGCCTGGAGGGATGCGGTCTGGGGGAGTCGCTGTTCAGCCGCGGGAGATCTCCAAACTTCCTTGAAAGCGAGCAAAATGCACACCTCGGCCTTGCGCGCCTCCCTGGAGAGGGCTCGGGGGGTTCCTGGCTGTTGGGGGCTCCTGGGCTCACTCTGCCCCAGCACGGGGGCTGATGTGGGGCTGGGTGCCGTGGGTCACGGGGTCTGTCCCGCTCCGGGGAGCGCTGAACCGAGCCCCTTTGCTGGCTAATCAGTTCTGGGGCCATGCTGCAGCCTGGCTGTGCTGCGAATCACCCGTGCTGGGATAATTGAGTCGTTTGTATTCGTTAGCGGCTGGGTGACAGAAACTTGGGGCTGGGATGCGATGCGGTGCTCCGGTGCCGGCGGCCGGCTGGAGCCCCGGC